GCATTTTCCCTTGAAGTAGGGTGGCGTCATTGAAATTTAAGCCCAGATTTGGTCTTTTTTTTTTTTTTTACAAAACAGAAGTAGAGGCTGTACAGTGAATTGAAGTTTGTCACAGACATTGAGCATTCAATGATATACACAATAATTAAAAAAGTACTTCAACCACCTTATAAGTATAGTAAATGTGGGCCAGAAGATATCTAGATTCTGTGTGACCATGGAGGACAGACTCTGTGAGGATCAAGTCAGAGAAAGAGCATTGACAAATGCAGAAAAGCAAGCCAGCCTGTACATACTGATTTATGTGAACTGAGTTTGTTTCTAAGTTACTTATCAAGAGCCCCCGCTTTGGAATTTATGTGCCTTGACTACTATGCTGTCTTTATAGTATCTTACTTACATTGGGTCTGGATGGCTCCCCATTGGGAAGTTGGTCCTTCTCTTTTAAGAATATGTATACACGACCATTGGCTGTTTACTGAATATACCTGAATTTCCCACCCAAGAGACAGTGGCTTCACCTTGGTCTACTCATTTGCACCTCTATGGGCAACATACGAATGCTATGAATTTTAGTCTACCCTACTGATTGATATTATTCTATTACATATTTGGAGTGGTTTCCAGTGTATTGATTCTGTCACATGTCTCCTAAAGAAGGATTCCTTAAATGCATAGAGTCCACATGTGAATTGTAATTGGAATCTTTGCATGTTGTGAACCCCTACGTGGAAAGTAATTTTTAATGTGTAATAGATTTTTTTATATATGTTGTTGATAGTTGTACATGATTTGCTGGGATGTGGACATATAGCACATGCAGTCTGGTTTTTCTCCTGCTATAGTTCTGTAATACATCTGTCTCTTTATAACACTCACCAAATGTAACATAGGATGAAATAAAAAAATGAAAAATGGTTAACTAAAGCTTACTAAAGAAATAGATTCTTCAGTTATGAAAGTGAATGCGAACTGAGCTGTGAAGTGAATGCAAAAATGAAGCAGTGTCAACTTCAACCAACCAGTCATGCGTTAACAACAATACTTTTATTTTAATTGTTCAGTACAAAGGATGTGTATTCATAGACCTTGGGTTATATGCACTACCTTCAGGTGATTTGACAATGATGGACACTAGCAAAAGTTTGCTGGGGACACCCCCAGTGCACTTTCGTATAACCCCACCCACTCCATGGGATACCATTTTTTTGCTAGTGTCATATGGTGGTTAAACCTTTCTCCTCTGGAGATGTTTCTAACCTATTCTTTTTATTTTTCTTGTCTACTTTGACGGACTTATCAAGATCCAACTGCTTATTGCCTCAGGGCTCAGTAGCTGTTTCCAGATCAGTTACCCTCAACGTACGTCTTCGGAACCCAGACCCAGCAGTGGGGATGGCTTATAGTGTTTAGTACACAGGATGTAACTAGGTGTGGTTAGCTGCAGGGTGTTGTCTAGGACTGTGGTCCATTTGTATGGCACCCAGACAGTGAAAACCCTGTTGGGGATATTCCTACCATGATGGGTGAAATTTGGTCATCTCCGGGAACCTGCAGCATGGATAACGTAAAACAAGGGCATCCCTGTATTTATGACCTGGTCCTATTTTTACATGTTGGGCGTTATTCAGTTTAGATTGTTTACATCCTTCTGTAAAGGTTTCTACTCTGCTTGGAGGTAGGTAATGTTTTTATAGCATTTACCTTTTCATATTTGGTGGGTTTTTCCCCCAGTGTTCCTGCTTGGAAGGTGATTTAGTTACAATACGCCTACTGGCTTACACACTTGTGCCTGACATTTCCACAGAAACCACAAGAAGCTCATCTGCTAATCTCCTGAATGTCTGCCTTTCCAGAGTCACAGCCACAGGACATTGGTCAGCTGCTGGGTTATAGCATCTCCTTTCCCAGACTTGCAAATACCCTCCCATTATACATGCATTTTGTGAGTATCCCAAAGAGGATCCTCTCACCTAGCAATGGCAGGAACAAAGCATAGAGGAGCTGAATAAAATTTGTTCCACTGTTGGCACTGAGGAAAACCAGCAAAACGCTCAGGGTAATAGCTGTTCCCCTGCACCAAAGCAAGGTCCTATATTGACACAGCTCCCTTCCTCTAATTAAAGATGCTTCTAAAGTACAAAACAGATTGCCTATCTTACCAAGGCAGGTTTCACTACAACTATAAAAACATTGCATGAGTGGGTAGAGCCCATCCCATGAGACAAGTGGTTAATTGGACAGCAAACGAGGCTTGTATCAGACTGTAATGAATTAAAATGACATTTATTCAATTCTTTGCATAATGATTTGCGATGTAGTTATATTAAAGTAACACACAGTGCTCAGTAACCACAATATACATATACACATACAAGACACATATTAAAAACTATGTCAAGTAAGGACGTCTGGACGTCAATTGTGGTATATGTATATGTATCCTGCAGAAGCCCAACCTCAAATGGGTATATTCAAACTTTCAAGTATTGATTTAAATTACGGCTCCACAGGTTTTAATACAGGCACATATACGCCCCCAGGCCCATACAAGATAGGAAATGCACATTTTACACAGCATCTCTCAGCTCTGAAAAGCAGGAGGAGGTGAGCTAAAGTCTTATGCTGCAGAGCTCAGTGAGGAGAGCTCTGAGCTGTGATTGGAAGGAAGGGACCCACACCCACCCGACAGTACACAGCTGTGGTTGTCAATCACAGGTTGTGTGCTGGAGCTCTCCTCCCAGTTACCAATTATCTCTTGGAGTTGGGAAAAGCTGTCAGAAGTGATTCATTCAGCTAATAGAGGAACAAGACAACATAGAGAAATCACACTCAGTGGTTTGGATAGAGACAAGTACACAGCATATTATGTGTTGTCCATATTTAATGTCAGAGGTTTACAACCACTTTGAAAAACATTCCCTCTCCACTCCTCCTAGTTCCTGCATACCATGTGTTTAAAAAAAAAAAAAAAAAAATCTCTCTGTACCTCTATTTAACCTACTTCGGCTTGGTCATGGGATCCTACAACTCCAGGGAGCATTAACAATGGCTGGGCCATGGGAGCCCATATCACGGCTCCTGGAATTCACTGCTGTTGTTGAGTGCTCCCTTACAAGGGAGCTAGAGCTGCAGGATCATGTGACTGGACCAGTTTAGAAAGGGTAAGTATACAGATTGTTTTTACACAGGGTATTCTGGATAAGTAGAAGGAAAGAGAGGGAACATTTTTAAGAAGAGTTAGTTAGGCTTTTTTTTCCACTTTACAGATAATTTTATAAGTAAAACCTGAAGATATTGTAAAAAGTGTGCTTGATATCTTTAGCTATAAACAGAGGTAAAATAAACTTGTATGAAGTAGGAAAAGAAAAGTATAATTTTACTTTGTTTACCTGTCTCAGAAGGTTGCTATACAAAGAATAAAATGTGCCAAATCTGATTGTGGCAATACTTGATCACTTTTTTTCATGAAAGTTGCCTGGACTATTCACAAGTGCATTGTTTAATATTTCTGCCAGTATTATAATGAGAAAAAAATGGGGAGCAGAGATTGGAAGAGTTGATGAATGTTACAGCATGCCATCTGTAATAGAAAGTAATTGGTACCTAGGGCATTAATAACTGATGATGGGAGAAGCAGCCTGTCTTAAAGGGGATTACCCATACTGTTGTCTAAAAAAAAAAAAAAAAGTGAAATACAAATGTTGAACTTACAGTAAAATCCTTTTCTTAAATGTACAGTACAGAACACAGGCTTCCATTAATCAAGACCATGGGTTATATGCTGCCACCTTCAGGTGAAGACACTGGCAAACAAAGCTCTTAGGAAAACCCATATAACCCCTCCCATTACCGGCCATCCTTAATTTTTGCCAGTGTTCTTAGTTGATGGGCAGTTTCTCTCGAATTGAAACAGGTTTCTGGTTTATTAGAGGTATTCTACAGTACTTTAAGATTCCTTGCTAATCCTCACACTGAGAAATCCCTTTCGAAACCCAGTGTCAGGAATGGACTCACCGCTGATGGTGCTGGGGCTCACCTGCTGTGTGGGCTGCAGTACTGGTGCTTTCCAACGGGTGCTTTCAGCAGCCAGGATCTCACTCCTGCAATCAAGCCATCACCTGAGGCTGATTGCAGGAGGTGTATTTAAGCAGGATCAGGCCTGCAATCAGCGCCTTGGTGTTTTCCCATGAGCCCCTGTATCTTGTTCCTAGTTTCCTGTGCATCTGTTCCTGAGAGAAGTTACCTTGTTGCCGACCCTGCCTGATCCTGATTCCTGTTGACCGTCTCCTGCTCTGACTCCTTGCTCGTCCCTGACTATTCTTCTGCCTACTCCTATGCTGTTTGACCTCCTTTGACCTGATGTGCAATAGAAGACAGAGAGTACTGCACTCGCTGCACCTATCCTGCCTTTAACCCTGTAAAGAAACCCTCTGTATCAACTGCTTCCTCCTCTGTTCCATCCTCCAGCTCTTCTCTGTCTTCAGCTGCTCCCTCCATTTACAGACTTGCATTTACTTGCAGTGCTTCAGTAACTAAACCCAAGAAGAAGCGAAAATTCTTTCCAACCAGTACCATTCTGCCAGTATCCAAATCGGTCAGCCTGCCGTCTGAGAACCCACTTTCTGTTATCCCGCCCGATGACTGATGACCCAGTGTCCGCTACCCAGCATGATGATCCTACCCAGCCTGATGATCCTATCCAGCCTGATGACCCTATCCAGCCTGATGATCCTATCCCATCTGATGATCTGGTGCCCGCTACCCAGCCTGATGACCCTATCCAGCCCGATGACCCTATCCAGCCCGATGACCCTATCCAGCCCGATGACCCTATCCAGCCCTATGACCCTATCCAGCCTGATGATCCTATCCCGTCTGATGATCTGGTGCCCGCTACCCAGCCTGATGATCCTATCCGACCTGATGACCCGATGCCCGTTATCCAGCCTGATGTCCCGATGCCCGTTATCCAGCCTGATGCCCTGGTGTCCGTTGTCCAGCCTGATGCCCCGGTGTCCGTTGTCCAGCCTGATGCCCCGGTGCCCGCTGTCCAGCCTGATGCCCCGGTGCCCGCTGTCCAGCCCGATGCCCCGGTGCCCGCTGTCCTGGCAGATGACCCGGTGCCCGCTGTCGAGCCAGATGACTCGGAGCCCGCTGTTCTGCCAGATGACCCGATGCCCGCTGTCAAGCCAGATGAACCAATGCCTGATGACCCGGTGCCCGCTGTCGAGCCAGATGACCTGGTGCCCGCTGGCAAGCCAGATGACCCAGTGCCCGCTGTCGAGCCAGGTGACCCGATGCCCGCTGTCGAGCCAGGTGACCCGATGCCCTCTGTCGAGCCAGGTGACCAGATGACCCGGTGCCTGCTGTCCTGCCAGATGACCCGGTGCCAGCTGTCCTGCCAGATGACCCAATGCCCGCTGTCCTGCCAGATGACCCAGAGCCCGCTGTTCTGCCAGATGACCCGGGGCTTGCTGCCCTACCAGAAGACCCGGTGCCCGCTGTCCTGCCAGAAGACCCGGTGCCCGCTGTCCTGCCAGACGACCCGGTGCCCGCTGTCCTGCCAGACGACCCGGTGCCCGCTGTCCTGCCAGGCGACCCGGTGCCCGCTGTCCTGCCAGACGACCCGGTGCCCGCTGTCCTGCCAGACGACCCGGTGCCCGCTGTCCTGCCAGACGACCCGGTGCCTGCTGTCCTGCCAGGTGACCCGGTGCCTGCTGTCCTGCCAGGTGACCCGGTGCCCGCTGTCCTGCCAGGTGACCCAGTGCCCGCTGCCCAGCCCGACGACCCGGTGCCCGCTGCCCAGCCCGACGACCCAATGCCTGCTGCCCAGCCCGACGACCCGGTGCCTGCTGCCCAGCCCGACGACCCGGTGCCTGTTGCCCAGCCCGACGACCCGGTGCCTGTTGCCCAGCCCGACGACCCGGTGCCTGCTGCCCAGCCCGATGTGCCTCTGTCTGCTGCCCAGCCCGATGTTCTCTGTCCGCTGCCCAGTCCGATGTGCCTCTGTCCGCTGCCCAGTCCGATGTGCTTCTGTCCGCTGCCCAGCCCGATCCTGATTCCTGTTGACCGTCTCCTGCTCTTTTGCCTACTCCTATGCTGTTTGACTTCCTCTTGCCGTACCTTGGCTCGTGACCCATTTACTCTTTGCCTGCTGCTCTGTTCTGATCTGCTTCCACTGTTACCGACCCGGCTTGTCTGACTACGCTACACTCCATACTGTCATCGATCCATCCCGCACGAATCCAGTCACTACTGTCCGATCCTGCCAGCCCCTTCACATCAGGCTCTCCCCCGGTACATACCCTCGGCGGACCCCTCTACCACAGTTGGGTGCACTCAGCGGCCGCGACCTGGTCTCAGTCCTGCGCCAAGTCCATCCCCACCATCGGGCTCTGGTGAAAAGGCAGACTGGGGCTTAGACTCCGCGCCCTGGGGAATCCCGTTCTGTGGGTCACTAGAGATCCCGCCAGGCGGTGCCTGACAGTACCTTATGGCCTGCCTGACCATTCCACCTCTCCAGCCCTGACTACGCCTGTGTTCCTGCACATATTGATATTAGTGGAAGGTTGGTTTTGTTAACTGTGCGTTTTGTATATTTAGGCAGCTAATAATAAATTATATTATTATTACATCATTCCTGAAGCCTGCTACTGTTTCATGTACAGGAATGCAGACAACACAAGATGCTGGTGTGAGGAATCATGTTGTACAACAGAACTACATCCAGGTCAGGCACAGAACAGGAAACAGGAAGTATAAGGCAATGCAATATTACCATATGCAAGTAGGGTCACAGTATTTGCATAATAACTTTATAACATCTCCCTTTTTTACATTCAATTCAAACCTTATAAACAATTAAACTAAAACAGATCCTGAACAGTCTTGAACATGGCATACTGTGTTACTGGTAGATACACTACAGATTGAGTCTATCTGGTGGTCTTGAAACTTGACCACTACGCAAGACCACAGGGATTTTGCCTGGGGAAATCCGTTCAGCTCCAGAAGGTGTTGATAAGGAGCTACCCTCTTTCCTGGCTGGTGTGTTTGGCAAAGAAGAACTTGACGGGATATGTGACTGCATTTTGTCATCCTCATTGTATCCCGATATGACAGCAGAGTTCTCTCTGCTTTGAGTATATGGTCCAGTAGGACTCGGGGCATTGAGCACCTCAGGAGGATCACGTGCAGGATGCTCATAGGCTTGTGTGGTGAATCGTTCTGCCTTTCGCAGGTCCACTCGATTGCGGCGGTAAAGACTGCCTTCTACATCCACAAGATATGATCGAGGAGCAACTCTCTGAACACAGGAACCCAGTCTCCAGTGACCGGTCCTGTCACCTGGAAGCGGCTTCATACGGATTGGCTCTCCAATGCTTAGTTCAGGTAGGTCTTTAGCAGACACATCGTATGACAGCTTGGCAATCTGTTTCCTCCGCTGCAGTTTCTCCGGGACACCTGTAACCACACAAGGATCAAGTAATATGTTGGCCACAGGCAATGAAGTCTTCAGTCTCCTAGACATCAAGCGCTGTGCAGGACTACTGTCCATGCCTACAGATGGGGTGTTCCTCCAATGTAGAATGGCCTTCCACGGATCAGTACCATCAAACTTGGCCTTCTTACAAAGATTCTTCACTATCTTGACAGCCGATTCCGCTTTGCCATTTGCTTGCGGGTGCCTCGGGGATGAGGTAACATGCTCGAATCCCCAATCTTTAGAGAACCGTCTGAATTGCTCACATGCAAATTGAGGTCCATTATCCGAGATTACTCTATCCGGCTGGCCATAACATGCAAACTGTGCTTTACAACGCTTGATTTTAGTATCAGCAGACAGGTCAGGAAGTAGCTCAATCTCCCAAAAGTCAGAATAGTGATCAACAATTAGTAGAAAATCCTGGCCAGCATAATTCAGCAAGTCCATGCTTACAATTTGCCAAGGCTGGGTGGGCAGCACATGCAACATCATAGGTTCTTTCTGTTGTGCCTGCGCATATTCATTGCATGCCGAGCACCAGCTAACAAAGTCTCTAATCTCATTCTGCATGTTGGGCCAGTATAGGGTATCACGTGCTTGCCTATAGCATGCTTCTCCGCCAATGTGACTGGCATGAATACGAGTCAGCATCTCTGATCTTAAAGATTTAGGAATGATGACCCTTGGCCCCTTGTACAGTATACCATCCTGAATGGCGATTTCATCTCTGAAAGTCCAATATTCTCTCACAAGTAATGACACTTCCAACTTGGAATCAGGCCAACCATTCAGAACAACATATTTAAGAGCCTGCAAACTCTCATCAGTTTCAGTGTGCTGTTTTATCTGAAGCAATCGTTGGTCCGTGACGTTTAAATAGTCTGAATGATTAATCTGTGACAGGACATCTAGGTCCCGTTGAACATTGCAAACTGTGTGTTGTGCATACTCAGGTGTACCACCTGATGCTGTAGCTCTGCTAAGAGTGTTACTAATGTACATTTCAGGACCAGGTTTATAGACAACATTTAGGCAATAGTTTTGTAACGTGAGCAACATGCTCTGTAGACGTTTGGGTGCACACACAAAAGGGGTTTCTTGAAAATAGAAATCAGAGGTTTATGGTCAGTTTCTGCCGTGATCTCGTCGCGCCCATAGAGGTAGTGATGAAAGCGCTGGCAGGCAAACACTATACTCAGACACTCCTTTTCTATTTGTGCGTAGTTTTGCTCGGTAAGAGTCAGTGCCCTTGAAGCAAAAGCGATAGGCTGGCCAGCTTGCAATAGGCAACACCCAAGTCCAGTTTTGCTTGCATCACTTTGAATAGTTACAGGTTTTGTAATGTCATAGTACTTCAGGACAGGTGTGTCCGTGACCAAGCGTTTGATGTCCTGCACTGCATTATCATGCTTAGGAAGCCAATGCCAAACAGCATCCTTGTCCAGAAGCCTTCTCAATGGCTCGCAGACCTCTGAGAGGTGTGGTAGGAATTTTGCTAGGTAGGTAACAAATCCAATGAAGCGTTGCAGGGATTTCACATTTGCTGGCTGCGGCATATCCAGTATGGCTCTGATTTTTTCTAGGTCAGCCTTCAAACCCTCCCAGGTTAGAATGTGTCTATGAAAGCGGACCTCTTTGACCTTGAATTGCAGTTTTTTTCATGCCAAGTCTCAATTTTACCTGCCTACAACGATTCATCAGTGCCAGCAGTTTGCCATCATGATCTTGCTCTGCTTCCTCATCTGTGTCCCCACAGCCAACCACAAGGATGTCATCAGCTATTGGTTCAATACCACCGAGTACAGCCAATAGTTCATGTTGTTTACGTTGATATACCTCTGGTGCAACTGATACTCCAAAAGGCAGTTTGAGCCATCTTTTCCTGCCCCACGGAGTCCAGAAGGTTGTCATGTAACTACTTGCATCATCCAACTTACACTGTAAAAATGCATCCCGGGCATCAACAAGTGTGAACAGACGTGCCTTAGGCAGCTTGTACAAGACATCCTCGAGAGTTGGCATGATGTAGTGAGATCGTCTCAGTGCCATATTTAAGAATTTGGGATCTATGCATATTCGTAGCTTATTTGGCTTCCTTACAATCACCATGTTACTTATCCAGTCAGTTGGGTCAGTCACTGGTGCCAAGTGTCCATTGGCCTCATACTGGTCAAGCTGTGCCTTAACCGCTTGTTTTAATGCCACCGGCACATTGCGTGGTGCACATTGGACTGGAGGGACACTCACATCAAGGTCGAAATGAACTTCCCCTGGTACAGATTCCACCGGCCCAGTAAACACATCACTAAATTCCTTTAGCAGCAGTTGTTTTGTCAAGGGCCCCTTGGATAGATTGTCCATCACATTAAGCTCTGCAGGGATGGAGAAACGTATCAGCCCTAGACGCTCACAGGTTGAGCCAGACAACAGTGGCTTTTGGCAGGCTTCCACAATTTCAAACTCCAGCTTGTGTGTGTTAGTCCACGTAAGGCACATTCTGTCTTGAAGAGCCCTAGAGATTTCATAATCGCACCTGAGTATAACTTTAACCTGGTCTCAGTTGGCAGTAGACGTGCTTCTGGTGCTAACACCATTTTGTCTCTTAAGCACATTACATCACAAGTTGCTCCTGAATCGAGCTGGCAGGATTGGGGCTTATTATTTAAATGTGAAGTGACAAACCATTTCTTTCCTCTGGATTGGACAGTGCCGATCAATTCACTGCTGTATATAACTTCAGTGGTGTGTGTCTCTTCCTCATATGCGGATGTATTCTCCACATTGTGTAATTTGCCTATTGATGGCCGTTGTTTACTTGACAAACAAACGTTAGCAAAATGGTTTGTTCTTCCACAAGACTTACAAGACTTCCCATAA